GGGGGGCGGCATGGAGGGGGAGAGGAAGAGCAAGGGCGAGAGAGGGCAAGGAACTGGGCGCTGGCATACCAGGGGGGGCAGGGTGGTGGGCGGCGACCGCCGCATACCGTCCTACGGCGGGGACTATCGCTACGCCAGGGAAGACAAGGGCGTCGAAGTGCAGCTGCTGCTGTTCGAATCGTTCGGCGGGTTCGGAAAGGGGGTCCGTGAGATCCTCCGGAGAGCGGCGGACGTGCTACAGAACAAGCTGACGCGGGCCCAGTACCTCGATGAGGTGACTTGGACCACCAAGAGCTGGCTGGGGCTGCAGAAGCAGCGCATCTCAGTCGTTCTTCACACGGCCATCGCAGAGCAGGTCGTGAATGAGCTTGCCTGTGGCGGGGGTGGGCGGGTGCACGGAGCTAAGTGCTCGCAGGAGTCGCTTAGTTAGGCGGCTCCCGTGGTGTACCTGTGTTAGTGCCAGTGCGCGCCAGTCCCGTGCCCAGAGAGAGAGAGAGAATTCTTGATACGAAACCACGACGACACACACCAGTCGACTCGCATCGGTTGCCTCCATGAACGGCGGAGCTATTCTCGCGCCCACACCACACCTGGCTCCAACGTGGACACGCCCATAGCTGGGGACACTACTAGGTCACGCATGGCATCACAGAAGTGGAGCTAAGTGCTCGCAGGAGTCGCTTAGTTAGGCGGCTCCCGTGGTGTACCTGTGTTAGTGCCAGTGCGCGCCAGTCCCGTGCCCAGAGAGAGAGAGAGAATTCTTGATACGAAACCACGACGACACACACCAGTCGACTCGCATCGGTTGCCTCCATGAACGGCGGAGCTATTCTCGCGCCCACACCACACCTGGCTCCAACGTGGACACGCCCATAGCTGGGGACACTACTAGGTCACGCATGGCATCACAGAAGTTTTATCTCTGGGCCCCGAAAGGCATCTCTAGCAGTGTCGTTACGCATGCCCCCTCCCATCCTGGGCGCATGCGCCTCACGTCTCGCCAGAGCATAAGCCCTTGGCGTGTGGCGAGACGAGTTTTTCGCCATGCAGCGAGCAGCAAGCCGCCCGCCACAAACAGCCGGAGGCATCGCCACGGCACTGGCTGCGCCGCGCTCCCGCACCCGTCGACGAAGCTCCCCCCGCGGAAGACCGCGCGTAGCGACGCCTTGACGATCGAGATGAGCGCGCTCGAGGCTCGCCCACCTACTGCCCCTGAGAGTTGGTTATGAGTGGGCTCGGCTCCCCCCCTTGGGATCGAAGCTTCCACGACCTCACACCCAACACCACAGGTGGGATCAGAGAGAGACTCCGCACCGGACACCGCCCGGGCACAGACTCCCTACCCATCGGATCGCACAGGGCCCCCTCGGAGCAGCCCACACACAATCACGCATCGGCAGAATTAGTGCCTGAGTCAGGCAGACAGCACAGACAAGGAGAGGAGAGAGAGGAGAGAGAGAGAGAGGAGAGGGGAGAGGGTGAGGGTGTGTGCACACGTGTGGAGAGGGAGGGTGTCTGTGGTGGGCTGTAGTCGTACTACGTGGTTAAAACCACGCGCCCCTCAGGAGCTTAAGGTAGAGTGGAGCGTCCCAGACGCCTCGGTGCCTCCCACCGGGTGAGACCATCCGGATCTGCCTGCCGCGCCCTCCGTACGCAGCAGTCCCCGCGATGGCCCACGGTCCTCCGTCGCCAGGTCGAACCCCCTGCCTCCCGGTTGACCCCCCGGTCCCCGTACTCCACCATGAAATAAACTCAAAGTCCACCACAGCCACCAGCCTCCACCTCCACCGTCGAGCCGCGATCGCTGCCGCCCGCGACGCCGCCCGCCGCGTCAGATCGCCGCGACACGCGCCTCGAGTCCAGTCGGAGAGCCGCGCCGCATCAGCAGCAGCATCAGCACCAGCACCACCAGCACCACCAGCACCACCAGCACCAGAGAGAGGCGCAACCTCCCGACGCCGCCGTGTCAGCTGCTCCCGACGCGCGTCTCGAGCCGAGTCGCAGAGCCGCGCCGCGCCAGCATCAGCATATGCACCAGCATCAGCAACATCACCACCACCAGCAGCACCAGAGAGACAGTGCAGTGTGACAGCAGCGCACAAGCGCTCGCAGAGCGGCGCGCAGCGCCGCGCACGCCACGCCGCGGGCGGTCCGACGAGCGCAGCGTACGTCGGCCGCGAGCCGCGTCACCAGCCGTCTCGCGAGAGAGCGGGGCCGCCGCGTGCGCGCAGCAGCCGCCGCGGCAGAGGCGAGCCGCGGCGACGTCCGCACTAACGGATAACTGCCATTGGCGGTTTCTCTCTCTCTCTCTCTCTCTCTCTCTCCCGTGCCCAGTGTTGTGCGAGGGAGTTTCATTGTAAAATTCTTTTCGCATCCTTGGTTTTCCACCGCCAGGCCGGCAACCATGGCCGACGCCTACGCGGACCGCTCCTACGGCTCCGACCCGGTCGGATTCGGGCAGACGCTCGGCATCATCGTCGTCGACTTTCAAAAGGCCTTCACTCGGCCGGGAGGGGCTCTGGCCGGCTCGCCTCACATCGAGGCCGCGGTAGAGGCGACCCAGCGGCTGCTCACCCACGCGCGGGCGGCCGGCGTGCGCGTGGCGGTCTCGTACGTCGCCTACGCGACGCTCGACGCGATGCCGCACTGGAAGGTGCGGGCAGTCAAGACGGACCTCTTTCGTGGCATGCCAGGTTCGGCGCTCTCCAGACATTTCCCGGCAACTACCTGCACTCCTCCTTGTCGGCATCCTTCGTAACAACCCAGTGCGCACAGCCGAGGAGAAGCCACGCCCCGCATACGCCATCTCTGGTGGCAGGCACGGAGCTGGACCCGCGCATCACGGCGGGAGGGCAGAGCGACTATGTCTTTGAGAACTTGCGCCGCAGCGCCGTTTTCTCCTCCAAGTCGCCTTTTCACAGCCATGCACCACGTGTGGACAGGCCTTCGACAAGTGGGGCGCGTCCTCCTTCTTCCAGACGCCGCTCGCCGCCTACTTCACGCGCCACGGCGTCGATACCGTCGCTGTCTGCGGCCGCATCGTGCCCCTCGGACGGAAATGAAAGTTGACGCCGCGTTAGCAGACAGCTGTGGACAGGTGTGCGGTCGACACCTCTCTGAATACACGAGAGCTGGGGGCGAATGAGAAGGCAGCTGTGGACAGGTCTGCGGCTGCACCACCTCCGGCTGCGTGCGAGCGACGGTTCGAAGCTGCCGCGATTTCTGTCTCTGCTGCACACACGCTGTCTGGGACCGTCTTCCCGCCCCCTGCTTCTCTCAGTCTACTGTCTGATCGTGGCCGCACTGAAAAAGGCCCGGCCCTCCTCCACGCTAGCCGTCTACGAGAGGCCAAACAAGCAGAGACCATTAATTAGCATGCTCAGCTGCCAAGTCCCATGCCGAGGGTAGAGACCATTAATTAGCATGCTCAGCCGCCAAGTGCCGAGGGTAGGTGGCGGAGGCGCCAGTTCACAGCTGCCTTCTCATGGGGCGCGTGATTTTTCTTTTTGTTCGCCTCGTAGGTGGTGGACGCGTTCCAGTTCGGCTTCCGCACGCTGCTAGTGGCGGACGGATGCGGTGGCGCCGAGATGCGGCCGAGATGTGGCCGATACCGAGCGGTGATTGCCGCGACCGAAGGCGCCTCTCTTCACAGCGAGCCGGTGGCGCGGCGTCAAGTATGAGTAGCGTTGTAGATGAAGTCGGGGTCACAGGACGCGGCACAGACGGGGCACACAAGTCAGGCTACAAACACAGGGAGGCGCGCAGTGAGGCAAGGGTAGGGCGGTCGCAAGGGCGGCGGCGGCGAGGGTGGTGGTGTAGGGTGGCGGCGAGCGGGCAGTGGCGAGGGCAGCGGGGCGGCTGGAGGCGAGGGCGCGAGAGCGGCGGCAGTCCGGAGGGCGGCCGAGGGGAGGGTGGTGCGGGGCGGCGAGGGCGGCGGGGGGCGGAAGGGCGACGGTG